TTTTTTTTTTTTTTTTTTTTTTTTTTTTTTTTTTTTTTTTTCTTTCGTAGCTGTTACCGCAACATGCCCCAAAATCTTGTCGGCCAGAGGGGCTTTTGTGTCATATCCATTCGCGCTTACAATCTCGAGTATAAGTACTTTGGTGCTGATGTATATGTATATTGTTTAACTTTGTCATTGATTTTTCGTCAGAACTTTTCACCTTGAAAAACATTTCATCAAAACTATATAGATTTCTCTGCTCTCTTGACAAGTCGCTGTTAAATTCATGACGTACATGAGAGGATTCGATGAAAATCTAAATGGTCACCCTCGCGTTTGCAAACAATGTAGGAGCGCGCATCGCTACAAAATCACCAGATACTTATCTTAAAAATTCTTGCACATGATATTACTCGTATCAAAATCAATGAAAATGATTGGCCTTGTTCACTATATTTCTTATGCGTGAGTATATCGGGGCCAAGCAGCAAATGAGGTACGAGTTTGGATCATTAGATCATTCTCTTCTTAACAAAGTTGCCCTCTTCGGCTCGAAAATATCACCATCCGAGCATTAGATGCACAGGTGTATATATATATACACCGGAGATGCTGAGCCAACGTGTATAAGTGATGTATTTACATACAGTGCGCATGATACGCGATACATAGTATATGCCGATGACCACTTTGGCGAAGAAACGGAGAGGGGGGTGGAGAAAATTTGATAAATCATGCCCGCATAAATTTCCACCCTGTGGGTACAACGCGTAGCCAAGTCCTGAAGGAAAAGCTGGGACGCGCAATGAGTTTGTATAGATGCAGGCGTAGAGAGAATACAAACGAGGTATCTGCTCCCCGTCCCTCGGCCGTACAAATAGAATTTTTTGTCCACATGGCCATCCCCTCTGTCCAAAAATTAAAGCAACGTAGATAATGTTGTTTAGGCTCCTTTTAAAAGCTACTTAATTATAGATTTTTTCAAGCAGTGGTCCTTTTAAAAAAATCATAATGGTAGATAAATACGGTCACTAAAAATAAACTACCTCACCGTAAGAGATTGGTTTTTGCGCTACTTTACTTAAAAAACTGAGTAAAAAATTAACTACCAATTCTTTTGCTACGCATTTATCCCTTGTTAATACAATAACATTTTTATTTCTTATCTAAACATGCTTTCATTATCTCTTACCTCAAAAAACCTCTAAAAAGGCAAGTTTTGAGTATTATGAAAACGTTAGTTATCTAATATTCATGAAAAAATTAAATTTTAGTTAACTTTTTTATACTTATTACTCATATAGACCTACTACTTTACGGAAATTAATTTCTATTTTTCCTTACCTTTAAAAATGTCCGAAAAATGCGGTTTTTACGTGTTTCGATCACTAAAATTGTAAATTTATAGGAAATCACCATTTAGATGCAGTTTCACTTGCTTAATACTGACATACTGCTTTTTTTTACAAAAGTTCTCGTATATTCTTCATAACTTTAACTAATATCCTGATGAGTGGTTTTTTAAGCATGATTTTCCCCTGTATTGCCGTAAAATATAGCATTTCATCAATCTCGCTCGCTCTTACTCTCTTAAAAAACATATAATAATATCATCCACTGGAGTCTGATATTTCTTTTTCAAAGAGATCATACATAGGATTTCGATAAATTTTATAAAACTTGTACCATGATCCGTTTCCACCGATTCTGTACTGAATGAGCACAACTTTGTATGATTAATTTTGCGGTATGTTCCTTACTTTAAAAATCCTCCTCATAATGCTGATTTGAAATTTATCAGTAACCAGCCAGCTGCTTGTAAAATAGTCTACAACTTCACCTCGATAAGTATAGTTGAAACTTTAATATATATTCAAACATAATTTGAAGATACTTTGTTAAGAATTGTTTATCATTGATGAGGACTTTTATTGTTAAATTCTTAAACAGCACATCAAAAAACCTGAGAATAGCGATTTTTAGCGTGATCAATATTGACGTTATTAAGACTGAAGAAGCATGTTACGGTCATTTGCGGTAATTACAAACGCAAAATATATAGGTGTAAGTCCTGGTTTTTAGCTTGGTTAATGGCAGACAGTGTTCGAAGGTACATCTAAGTACTTACTAATAACAAGATTTAAATTCGCTATGCAAGCGTGGTAATAGTTGTCGTATGTGGCTGTTGGAATAGTGAAATTTATTTTTTAATACAATTTTATTGGTGATATTAGTTTTTTGAACTCCTCACGAATAGTAAAATATTATTTGTTGCTTTAAACTTTTTTCATAATATTTTTAAAGTATAAATAAAATCATATTTAGCCAACAAATATGTACCTAAGCCGACTCCACGCTACTCATTTAATTTTTTGTTTTTTTGTTCTATATTAATAACTGCACACATACATACCTTAGTAGATTGTTGCATGGCGACAATATTAACTATATAACTGCATACATTGGCGACATTTATTTTGCATTGACGATATTTCTAACAATAATATTAGTTGATTCCTTACAAATAGTTTGTAATCACTGTATTTATCTTTGTTTTAAAGTAACACTTATGTACAGCTTTAAAGTAGTAATTTTGTGTTAATGGAGTGTCTAGTAAAGCAAATATTTAATTGATTAAGAACTTATCATTATATCTTACAAAGTTTGCAACTTTAGGTGCATAAATCCTTACGTGGTAAATGGTTTGCCAAATCAGAAAGGGTCAAATCTCAGAAAAATATCAAAGTCACTTCTACGAAAATAATGACATTGTCCCAAAAATGAAACAATTTTAAATGCTTGCAGATTAAAGCGTGTTGATAAGAGTATGTTCACCGATAGTAATTGTGAGAACACTAATAGTATGGAAACTGATGAATCTACAAAGTGTAATGATAATGACTCAATTTTAACTGTAGCCCCACTTTCATGGAGTATTAGGAAGGTATCGGAAGAGTTAGACCTATTGACACATGCAGCAAAGAGAGCGAAATATTTATAATTGTCAGGAGAAGTGTTGGCTAATGTCATGGCAAAGGCTGGTAAAAATTTACCAGGAGACATCCAAACGAAATGAGTTAATTTTTATAATGATAAAATAGTAAGCAGACTTATACCAGGGGCTCAGGATGTACCTTTAATAAAAGTGTATGGTACATGATTAAGTGTGCAAAAAAAGCTCTTATTGTTTGATTTGAGTAAATAACATAATATTTTAAAAGAACTACACTGATATTGGTATTGGATTCTGTACTTTCCGAAAACTACGGGCCACAAAATCGTTTATTGGCTGGACCAAGAGAAACATACCCTCAGTTTTTGTGTTGTACTAAACATGAAATCTGTTAAGTAGTACGAGATGATATAAAGATCCGTACAAAAGATGTATTTCATGATTAGCGTGACTGTTTAAAGTTGCATGCCTTCAAAACACTGTTTCTAGATTGTTACCTTAAACAGTGTTCAAAATGTTCTGATACATTGGCTCTTTCAACATTATGAATACAAATTATGGACAGCAAGTCTAGTGATAAAGTACAGTAGAGCATTAAGATTAGAACTCATAGGTCTACGTTACAAACTGTAACAGCTGCAACATCAGACTCTATAAGTCCTTTGGCAGAAAGCTTAAGTTATAAAAATATTTTTTTTTATAGCAAAACAATAATAAGAATTTATATTGACAAAAAAACAGGAACGAAGAAATGGAGAAGTTTTTGTGGAAATAAATTTTTTTGAAAATCTGTCTTACGAAGTTCAAAAGAGAAGTTTTCATCAAAATAAGTTTTTTTGAAAATCTTTCTTACGAAGTTCAAAAGAGAAGCTTTTGTCGAGATAAATTTTTTTGAAAATCTTTCTTACGAAGTTCAAAACGCTTTCCAAGCTTTTTTTCCGGTGAAGAACAGCGTACAGTCTTCTCGGTTATTAACTATTACTAAACCAAGTTAGAACTTATACAAAAAAGCTGTATTTTTTTATCTGATGGTTGAAAGTATGATACGTCTGCAGTGTTTACCATTTATAAACAATTAGTTCCAAAAATCATGAAAAATAAAAAAATTATCAAGAAATTTATAAATGTAACTGATGGAGCTACGCAGAATTACAAAAATAAATATGTATTACCTAACCTTTGCAATTATAAGTAAGATTTTTAAACTGTTGCAAGGAAGCATTTCTTTGCAACATGACATGCCAAAAGTGAATCTGGTGGTTTAGAAGTTATATTTAAGTGAGAGGCTTATCAGGCAAGTCTTCTGGCAAAAGCTTCCAAAGCAACATTGTCAGTACAGTCGCTGTATAGCTGGGCAAAAGACATTTCAGAAATATGAGAATACTGTTTTTCACTAAGTTTAATCACGGTGAATCAACAAGGCACTTAAATAAAAGATTTGAATCACCATTGCCAGTTCCTGAATTCCTGAAAAAGCTTGTATTTATTATAAAACAACAACAAAAATTATAAAACAATACTTATATGTTTTATAAGGGATGGACTTCGATGAGTGGTTTTTTAAGCATGATTTTCCCCTGTATTGCCGTAAAATATAGCATTTCATCAATCTGCACAGGGAACTAAGTACTGGAGGTTTATTGGCAAAAAGCTTGATGGAGAGTTTACTAAGGATATAAGTGAAGGATTTACTGGAATACCAGACAATTTAGATGCTGCAACTGTCTGGACAGGCAATGGTAAAATTTACTTTTACAAGGGAACAAAGTTTTGGAAATTCGATCCATCGTTAAGACCACCAGTAAAAAATACTTATCCTAAGCTTATTTCAAATTGGGAAGGTGTACCTGACAATATTGATGCGTCTCTCTCTTACCATGGCTACACCTATTTTTTTAAAGATGAGTCTTACTACCGATTTAACGATAAAACGTTTTCTGTAAGTATATGTACATTTTTATACATTTAACACCATTTGTATAAAATTAACTTAATTCAAGCTTATGAAATATTACTAAATGGCTTTTTTCATACAACATTCTCTTGTACTAAGCACTCTTTTATACCAAAAAAATATGGTAACTAATATATTTGCTGCACTTTCATTTTTATAAATAACTTTAATAATACTAAAACTGTTATAATAATATTTTTTTAAATTTCTTACTTTGTTATGTAAGCTTCATCTTCTATCAAATAAGCTGCTTTTTTTTTGACAAAGAAAAAGTTTTTTAGGGTTTTTAACATATTTTTATTTATTTCCACTGTTTTTCAGTAACTTTACTTGTTTGTCTTTCAAATAAAAAGTACCTATGTTAATGGATTATAAGAATAAGTTTATATTCAAAGTAATTCCTTTATCTCATGATCCAACTTATAAATTTATTGCTCACGAAACTGGCTTTCAACGAAAATATTTAATTTAAAAACTAGTGAGCTACATCTTAGGTATTAATCAGCATAAGTCCGTGCCAATCGATTCTATCATAGTGTTTTTGGAGAAAATGGAAAGGTGAGGGACAGGTTTGTAAAGTGGACTAAGCAGAAAAACAAATAACAGTACAAAAGGAGTCATGAAAATAGTGATTTATCAGAAAAGGAAACAACTCGTATAGAAAAAATATGATAGTGAAAAGGAGTCATCTGAAAGTTCTAAGCACTGATGATTAATTAATTATATAGTAAATATGCAAAGCTTTACATAGCCTGTCAACGATTTAGCTTTTATGTCATTACCTATACAACTTCTCTGTTCTGCCTATGATCCTATGGTATTATTCTTCGTTAAAGAACCATTTGCGCAATGTATAACCTTGTTCTACTTGATTGTTCTTTTCTATACGTTGGAAGAAACGATATGAAAATTTTTACAGCGTACAGTTATAGATCAAGTAGTTAATACCATTAAAATGTACAGAAAAATCT